TGGTAAAATGTATTTTATCTGTATTTTAGTTACTGAAATCATTACCAAATACAATAATAATATTTATTATTTTATTTAATTCTCAAAAAACATCTTAGTATTAAAAAGAAAAATAATAATCAATATGTTGTGGTATTTCTGCAATTCTTTTTGCTGCCTCTTTCTTTTCTTCTAACAATGTTCTTTTACTTGCTAATAAATTTAATAATAAATAATATAAATTTTTTAAAAGTATAATAATAAACAATTTTCACATCACATAGCCAATTGATCAGAAATTATATAATAACAAGTAAATGAATGAAAATAATAATACCTTTTATTATTTTTTTTTTATTGATGCTATTATTATCTAATAAAGTTTATTAGTTTTTTTCTTTTAAAGTAATAATATTGTTTGCACTATAAATAAATAAATAAATAATAAATATATTACCTCTATTATTGCTACATCTTACATCTCCATTCTCATCATCATTATTTTTATTTTTATTTGTTTTACTTGCTAATAAATTTAATAATAAATAAATAAATAATATAAGTAATAATTTTTTTAAAAATAGTAAATATAAACTGGATATTGCCTTAAAAAAATTATTTTAAAATATATTTGATATTGATCAGACATTATAATAATAAATACATATATGAATGAAAATAGTATAATACCTTGATTATTATTATTCTTATTATTATTAATATCACTATGATGTTTTTTTTTATGTTATTATCTAATAAAATATATTAGTTGATTTTTTTTCCTTGTTTGCAATAAATAAATAAATATATTACTTGTATTATCTTCATCTTCAATATCAATTATGTTTACATCATTATTATTATCATCAATAGTGTCATCTTCAACATCATTATAAGTTTCACAATCATCATCATCAATGATACTTTCATTGTTAACATTATAAATTTCATTAATATCATCTTCATTTTCATTATTATCTAATAGTATATAATATTATATAATTAATATTATTATTATTCAAAGTAATTATTATATCTATGACAAATATTTAATTTTATCTTACTTTTATTTTGTTTTTTTACTACTACTACTGACATTACTGTTATTATTGCTATTACTACCAATAAAAGAAAATTTTTGTCATTTTTGATAATCTCATTAATTTGTATTAAAAAATTTTAGAATGTAAATAAAGATGTTAGCACAACCATTTTTTTCCTTCATTGAATGAGCACTAAGTGTGAAAATCAAAATTTAATTAAATGTTTTACTTTGATGTTGCATGCATTTCTTAACCAACTCCTTTACCAGCCAATTGTTGAGACCAACATTTGCATCAGGATTTCTTGTAATGAACTAAATGCAAATATTTTTTAATAAATTTTCTTAAACAAATATAGTCAGAATATGTAATTTATATACCTTATTAATAATTTTAGCAATTAAGATGGTATCTTGTCTATTATAAGGAATATCTATCAACTTTGAAATATTTTGTTATAGTACTGATTTCCATCCACATATATATAACAAATAAATTTATATTAAATAATGAATAAACAGATCATTAAAATTTTGATAATACAAATATATTTATATTTACCAAATATGATCTATATTCTTTACTGATTTCAAGATCCTCACATATTTTCTCCACTTTAATGTAACTGGTTTAAAATTTTGTCTTTCTTTAATAAGCTACGATTTTTCTCTTTAGAATTCTATCCAAATCATTAATCTTGTAACCTTGTTGCCATTTCGGAGAGTATTAGTGATGGCTTGCCTTTTTTTTTCAGTTGAGTTAAACCTTTCTATTTACTAGTGATAAAAACAATTATTGTGAGTATATATATAACCACAATATTATTGCTACTATTATTATTATTATTTTCCAAAATAAAATAATGCACTTATTATTATTACTACTATTACTGTTATTATTCTTATTATTTATTATTTATTTAATAGTGATTGTTGTGAATATGTATAGTAAAAAAATTGTTGTTTTTGTAATAAATAACAACGATTATTGTTGTAAAATAATAAAAAAATAATCGTAAAATGGTAAAATTAGGATGATCTACATCAGATTTACAATTATTAAAAGTGAAAAAAAAATTCTATCATTTTGTTAATGATGAAAATATTACAAATAAAAAATTATTAAATTACACATTACTAAAATAGTAATGATGACCCTTCACATAAATGAAATATCACCTGAGACAGACTTATCGTGATTCATTTAATTATACTTGGGCTAAATGATTGACAGCGCTATATCGCGACTTTATATAGATCGACTGACTTGTCGAATTTTTTAAATAGTAAAAAAAAGGGGTGAAACTTTTGGCCGAGTTAGGCCAAAACCGACCTATCGAGTTTACTAATACCAATCCCGTATATACCAATTATAATTTTTTAAAAACACGGAATGTGTAC